TGATGTAACTTGATAGGAACATCATGTAGGGGACATGGTTGCAAACGTGTTTTATCCTGTAATTGATTTGCATTCTATACCTGGAGGGACTTCAGCCAAACAAAATTATTGATAGCTAATTCTACTTGTTGCTTCATGATAAAAAGCTTTGAATGCCAATTTAAAACTTAAAACTGGATTTCAGGTGTAATGAGTGAAAAGTAGTGACAATTAACTTCTCTTTATGAAACTTGTTATGGGCAATAACACTGTTCTTTCTGTTACCTGGTTAACCAACTTTAGCCTGCCGGGGCAAAATCGCTTCAGTCTCCAAACTTGTTCAAATGTTGACTATACGTAGTCCTGTCTGACAGAACACGTTATTGCCAGCTCTCTTCTCACATGATCATTCTTTCATTCAGCAACTAGTTACCTATAGCTAATTCAACTAATTCTAATTTTCCCTTGATATATAGAATATTTTTTGCCTGTTCAAAGTTCTATACCTGTATCAAATACTTAGAAATCGGTGAGAGCTGTAGAATTCAGACTTTTCTTTGGCAGATAATTGTGTTTCAAAACTTAGATTTATACATAGGTTACTCTGCATTTTCTGCATGCCATGAAATGTGTAAGTAAAGCACAAAAGGGTGCAACTGACTGACTGTATGCAGTAGGTCAGCCGTTTGCTAATGAAACTAACCTACTCTTAGCTCACTTTATTCCACTAAGCTCTTTCGAACTGTTTATGTTGCTTTACATCACATAAATTTTCATTCTTCCAGTTTGATATTTATTTTTGCCTGTCTTTTCCCAGGTATCTGATTTTGAAAGCTTTATTGGATCCCTGAATGATCAGGGTTATCTTTTGAAAAAAGGTTCAAGAGTTTATCAGCTTCAGACTATGTGAGAAGAGCCACTGTGATAAACTTTCTTGAGACCCAGTCGTTACATCTGGAATGGACTGACGGACCTGCAGCTGTAAAGCATGCTGAACTGCGGCCTAGCACAGCAGTCGAGGCGCTGCGGGCACCTTCGCTTCCTGAGCTGCAAGATTCCCTCTGACACCAGCAGTGACCCCAGGCTGGCTGTAAGCTGCCACAGGACAGACTGACACGTGGTGTCGGTGCTTGGCTCATCCTACGGGTCTGCTAGCCCAAGTGAGACTGCGTAAGACTCACATGAACTTCATCATCCTCGAGGAGCAGAAAGTGTATTTTTATATTGGCATTATCACAATGCCGTAACAGATTTTACTTCTAAAAGAGACGTTGGGCCTACAAATTTAAACCCAGGAATCTTTCACGGGAAGATGATGTGAGTTGTATTTTTAGTACTGTAGTTCATTAGAGGCATTTAAAGTATAAAAATTTGTTTCCAAAAAGCTGGGAACCTTCACGTTGAGACAACACACTTTTGTACCTGTAAGAAGTGATACCTTCTTGAAACTGACTTGATTTTCTGCTTTGCAGCTCTGTATTTATTGGTCTTTGTTGCTGAGATTTTATTTGAAATGCAAGTCTGATTTAAGAAAATATCCTTATTACAGTATTTAATTTGTAAAACAGAAATTGGATTTTATTTATGTCTTTCATTAAACTTTATATATGAGAAATCTGTGATTTGTTCAAGAGCGTTAGAGAGTACCAGGGAACACTGGCGTGGGTGTTAATGGCCACTACAAGATACATAACACAAACATGTTACGTAGGTTTCTGTGTAACTGTTCTTGCCACAGAAGAACATGTGTTCTGCAAGAGCAGAGCTGAATGTTTCCTGACTTTTATTAAATCAGAATCACACTCCAGCGCAATGACAGATGAGAAGCTTTCGGTGTAAGTATTAAAAAACAAATACCCCCCACACCCCCCCAAGAAAAAACAAACCACAACTGAAAAAATTCAAGAATGCATTGCTGATACTTCTATTTTCCCCCTTTTATTTCTGAGGTAAGATATGATAGATAAATTGTAAGGTAAGGAAATAAGCTTCATTATTTCTGCATTTTTTTATGAAGTGACTGATCTACAGCATGCTTCCACAGCAATCCTTTTATGAAAAGACGAGCTTTACAGGTTTGAAGGAACATACTAAACTGCTCAGTGCTGCCTCCATGTGAAACTACTTCAGTATACTTCAAAACTCATTTGCAGGATGAGATGCTTAAGAGACAACTAAGGAACTGTAGCTCTTCATATGAGCTCTTTCCAGCTTTTGTCTGCTCGTTGTGGTAACTGTGGTTAATGGCTCTTTTAATATATGAACAGTGGTTCTGCATGGGCATACAGCAGTTATCTGCTGGAGTAGTGTGTGTGTGTTAGCATTTGGGCAGCAGAGGTGACACACCTGCTTGCAAACTGGGAGTTAATCCTACCTGAGGAGGCAGCCTGCTGTATCAACTAATGGAGAGAGTTACACATTGATTTTAATCTCTGCCAACAGATTAATGCAGGGTTTGGGGTTGTTTGGTTTTTTTTGTTTTCCACATCTAAGAAATCTGATGTGCACAGTATAACCAGGACATAACAGGTAGAGAACAGAACTGGAAGGGTTCCACCCTCCCTTTCTCTGGAACCCCAGAATGGCAGAGGCGGGAAGGGACCTGGCCCACTGCTCAAGCAGTCCCCCCGCCAGCCAGCTGCCCTGGTCCACGTCCCTCTCCACAGGTGGGGACTCCATTCTCTACCCTGCTGTCTGGGCAGCCGGCTACCAGCATGTTCCTGGCCCTGGGCTACCCCTCCCCAGGGGCTTCCTGCTGGCCCCATTCCAGGTGGTGAGGTCCCCTGGGTCTGTCTGCTGCTTTGCTCCCTCGAGCTCGCTGGGGGTGTGCCCTGGGCTTGCATTCACCCACTCCATGGGTGAGAAACAAAACAGCAGCTACTTCTTGGTAAAGGAAATAATAAATTAACAAGGTCATAGGTGTTTTAGCTAATCTTTCTTGATTATTTCAAATCATGGAATCATTAAGGTTGGAAAAGACCTCTAAGATCTGTCACCCCAATAC